TATCTTGTTATGTCTCCAATATAGAAAATACATTTTTCTTTCCTGTGAAAATACATTTTTAAACATTAACTTCAAAGTATTAATATTGAAAATTAAATATTCTAATATTTTTGAGCCCTTCCTTAATCCATTTAAGTTTTTTTATAGCCAAAACTTTGTCTTGCTTTTTGCTGTTTATTTTGAATTCCTAAAGTTTATGAAGATACAGTTTCATTTTTTTATATATTAAGAATTGAAGGCACTAACCTGTTTCCAGCCTTGTCATTTTGAAGGTGTCTAGCTTTTTTAAAGCAGTCAGGCAATTTTGCAAAGCTTCCTTAGGAAAGGAAGTATGAACTTAATGTCCTTTCATAGCTTTGACTATAGCTGGAGCAAGAATGACAAATTCCCTTGGCTCCTGATTCTCCCATCCTTTGGCAACCACTGCCTTGCAGCCTCTTTGTGAGGAGCAACCTCTACATATAGAACATCATGTGCTTAATCTCACATGCTCTCTTTTTCCAGAGAGGGACGAAGGAGCAAATTTACTCATTAGTTCCTTGTTCTTAGCCACAATCATCAGCTTTGCTTCTCACAGAGGTGTCTTCAGTCTGCCATTTCTTCCCTGGAAGTCACAATCAATGGAGTTCTGAGTACTACATCCTGGCTTTAAACCAACTGAAAGGGATCTGAACAATCCTTTTCTTTTGGGGCCCACTGGAGCTGCAAGCAGACAACATTTCCGATATCCTTCTCTAAAAAAAAAACACAAGATGACAGCTATTGGATTATCAAACAAGGTAAATTCAATTCTTTTTTTTCCCTTTTGCATCTTGTAATACCTTACAGGTATTACAAGGTAGTACCTTACAGGTAGTCCTTGGGTTACGAATGCAATGGAGCCTGCCCATTCCATCTGTAATTCGAGAATTAGTGGGAGTGAATCTCATACCTTGAACGACATCATTTCCTCCTTTCGCCCATGCATTCACTAATCTAATGTGTGGCTCGTTCAGTGCACATGAGGTATCTTGGGGTGGGGAAGGCCATGGGGGAGCCTAGTGAGGGAACAGGCCAACTACTTTAGACCACCCAAGGCCTCCCCCAACCCACAGATACATCATTCTCCCTCCCCTGGGGTCCCCACAATTGCTTCCCCCCCATCCTGCCACGCCAAAGATCTGTCTCCTCTCCAGCCTGTTTCTTTGCCTGCTCCCTCCTTTCTCATCAGCAAAGGGCTTGATGAGGCCTCCAGCACCGAGAAAGCAGCCCTGTAAGGCCGCATATGGTCTTCCGCAGCTGCTTTCTCGCCCCAGATCAGTTTGATGAGACCTCTGGCGCTGAGAAAGCAGCCCTGTTAGGCCGCGTACGGCTTCCACAGCTGCTTTTTCACCCCAGATCCATTCCGGCACCGAGAAAACAGCCCCGAAAGCCCGCACACAGCCTTCCGTGGCTGCCTTCTCACCCCAGATCAGCTTGAAGAGGCCCTCCCTTTTGGGTGTTGTTGTAGTGCACATCTTTTTATTTATTTTGAAATTGTATGCATGATCATTACTATTCCCTGCAGGAATGATCTTTTTCCATTATTGTGTTGTATGCTATCCTAAGAGTATTCCCAAATGACAAAATGATAATAGTAGCAATAGAGGTATAAAACATAATAAAATAAATTAGAATAGCATCCTCATGCCTGGCTGGAACTCAGAAACATGTCAGGTGTTTTTTTTTTTAAAAAAGATATATTTAACTTCTTTAAAAAGAGGTGTTATATCGAACATGCGTGCTTTAATCCTAACAGTGAGAATGGGCAAATCTCATTTGCTTTACTTGATTAACTCAGGAATTCATTGTAATTTTTAGTTAATTAAATTAAATATGAACTGTGGTTAGCTTGATTTGATTTAAAGTGCAGTGGCCTGTATTTGCTACTTGTAATAGTTTTGTGTAGGTATCATACCATAAACCCTTTAGCTGTTTTTGTACATATGCCAAAATGTGCTAAAATATATTTATTGTAACTTTTCCTAATGTATACATATTGTTTGCAGTAATTGTGTTGTAATTTTGCTCATTTCTACTAAGTATGTGAGTGTGTGTGTAAGCCCGCACATAATTTTAGGTACTATTTATTGTATTCTCTTTTAAGATTCATATCCTTCCATTTTTAAACTGGCTTGTAATCCCCATTTTACAAATATAAATGCAGGAATCATTCTATCAGGTTGACTAGAGCTCAGGCTGTAGATTGTGAATATTGTTTTTCAATTTCTTTCTCTTGATGTATTTGATATCTGAAATTGGGTAAACTGAGTAGATTTTTGTGTTATGGGTGTTAATGTTAACTTGCTGTTTCCTGAATGATACCCTGCAAATATTTGGGAACAGGAGGATGAAATGATTACATCCATAATTTGTAGCTTATTCTGCTCTATTTAGAAGGGTGAGTTAAATGCAAATAACTTGGCATTTAAGGAGGTAGCATGGTTAGTTGAAGGAGAAAATCTGACATAACTATGAATTTTTTTGACCTGGTTTCTTCCCTTTACTATGCTACAGTCTAGAAAAGATGCTGTTGCCAAGGAATTGGGGTAATAACCCAGTTTTTCCCCCCAGGTGTGTTTGTGGGTAGGTGTCTGTCTTATTTGTTCCATTGTTCTGGAGCGTCACATCTTCAGGCAAGGGTATAAGTTTAAGACATGATCCAGTGGTGGGCATTGTGCAATAAAGCTTTGGGAAATCTCTTCCTAAGGCGTCAAAAACTGAGAGGTAGTTGTGTTAGTTGTGTTTCACCAGACTCATCTGTGACACTTTCACATAACGCTATGTTTTTCTTTTCCATGAACTTCCCATTTGTTGAATGTAGCAGTTTGAACCCTTTCCCTTTCTATTTGTCCTTAGTAAAACTGTTGCCTGTTATAGCTCTGATGCCTTTAGGATCAGTTCTTAGTTTTCCAAATTCTCCCATTACAATTAAAAGTTAACGTGGCAGGAGTCTTTAATAATTCTCCTACCAATATTCTGAATCACAAACAATTTTAATATATTTTCTGAATTTTGCTGTTGACTTTTTACAGTTAAAAAGTTATGATAACTTCATTACTTCAGTATAACAAATTCACATATTTCTTAAAACATATATTATTTTGCTTAGGATAAATGGATTTTTTAAAGTTTAATAGCATGCCTTGTTTTGTGTTTTATTTGAGAATAGTGTTTTCCATTTAAGTATAAGCTTTATTTCAAAATCTAGCCTCATGCCCATTTTATTCATTTTTCTGAATGATGAAACCCAAGATACATCTTTGTATTACTTCAAAAAACTATTCCAATTAAAAGAAATCCTGGTGGCCCCTTGGACTCCATACATATTAGAGGTTTATTAATGACACAGATTTTAGTTGAAATATCAGCTTGAGCCAATCATTAAGTCTGAACAGGCAATGCGATCTGCAGCAACAACATGTAATCATACTCTGTCCATTCATGTTACTTTATAGAGACCCATGCCTTTTGAAGCAGTGTATTATGGTTGCTGAAGTTGATAATGTATAGTGTTGGTCTCATGCATCCTTCAAGTACGACTCAGTCATTTTTTGAAACGGACTGTTTCTTTATGCAAATCAGTGTGCGGGCCCAACATTGTCTGCTTTTGTCGTCCTTAAATAATATGTGCAGTCTCACTTAAATGTTGTGCTTTGCATTTAATCAGTATTAATATGATAACAGGGATGAAACAACTGAAGCGAGCCCAAAGAGATTATCTTTCCTTAGCCAAGTGCATCCATTACCTTGGAATTATAGGTTTCTATTAAATGAAACTGACAGATGGGCATTTGGAGGTAGCTGTGGAAGAGAGCAGGAAAGGCTGAGATGAAGGGGAGAGCAAGGGCAAAGTTAAAGTTGAGGAAATCTCTATGAAAATAAAAAGAAATCATCCATCTTGATAGGTTGGCATTTTACCCTCCTGGTGCACTTTATTGATGCTGAAATTGAATCTTGCAGAATTCAGAGATTATACTAATGTGATTATCCAGAAATAAGTGGCAGTTTCAGAACAAAAATTCACCATTGACTAGAAAAAATCAGTCCTGTTCCTTGACCAAACTAATGTCCTAAACTTTTGGAAGAAAGCAAAGGGAGGGAACTTTATGAAAGCGCGGGAAGTGGGGGGGACCTCCATTGAAGCATTTCCATCTAGTCATTAAACAATAAATCAAATAAATCTCTCCATTTAGGAACTGTTGCAACAATGTTAAAAGCTGTGACTAAAAAGGAACCAAGACAATAATACTATAAATAATTGTAGATGTGGAAGATTGCACAGAGAAAATAACATAATTAAAATGATTTTACAAGATGGGCAGTTCACTAAGATAGATAGTGTAATGCAATATGTTAAAATATCTGTTGTTTAATGCAAGATTGTAGATGGGAAGCATCTGTCTTGACAATAAATTACCAAGAATGACCCTTGCTGCAGTACTATATTGGAGAAATCTTTACTTTTTAAGAAATAAAGAATTATATACATAATGTGTTTTGGTCTAGTGTATACACAGTTTTATAAGTTAATATAGCTTGGTCTAGTGTATAACCAGTTTGATTTAGTGGTTAAGGCATCTGGCTAGAAATCAAGGGACTCTGAGTTGTGGTCCCATCTTCGGCATGAGGAAAACTGGGTGACTTTTTACCCTTATACGATTGTTGTCATGGGGAAATAGAAGGAAGATAGAGTATTAGGTATGTTCGCTGCCTGGAGTTATTTATAAAAATAATAAAGGGAGGATATAAATAAATATCAAGTGGGTGGGGTTTTTCTCTGGCAGCTCTTTTTTAAGCAGAACATAAAGCAGTAGTTGGTGAATCTCCAATATTCAGGTTTGAATAAGAGTTAAAAGAGTTTCCCGCTGCGCCGCATTAGCTGGTGTGGAGCTGTGGTTGCTGGTCCTTGTCTGTGGCTAGTGCCACACTTTTTTTAAAAAACTCTTACATTTCATTCACACAGTGCATTTCCCTCAGCTATGCCTAACCCTCTCGTGTTTTTCGATGTTACTGCTGACAGACAGCCCCTTGGGTGCATCAACTTAGAGCTGTTTGCAGACACAGTTCCAAAGACAGCAGAAAATTTCCGTGTGTTGAGCATTGGGGGGAAAAGATTCGGTTACAAGGGATCATGCTTTCACAAAGTCATTCCTGGATTCATGTGTCAGGGTGGTGACTTTACCCGCCATAATGGAACAAGCGGTAAATCTATTTATGGTGAGAAGTTTGTTGATGAGATTTTCATGCTCAAACACACAGGCTCTGGCAGTTTATCTATGGTGAATGCTTGTCCCAATACAAATGGGTCTCAGTTCTTCATCTGCACTGAGAAAACTGAATGGTTGGATGGGAAACATGTGGTCTTTGGCCAAGTCAGAGTGGGAATGGACGTTGGGAGGAAAACAGAGAGTTTTGGCTCAAAGAATGGCAAACCAAGAAGATAATCATCTCTGATTGTGGAGATATGAAATAACATTCTGATGATGTAGAGCTGATGTAGTTCCCATCTTCAGAAAAGGAAAAACATAGATCCAGGAAACTACAGACCTATCAGCCTGACCTTAATACCAGGGAAGATTCTGGAAAATATAATCAAGCAACGAATCAGCGAACACCTAGAAGCAAACAAAGTAATAACCAAAAGCCAACATGTGTTTGTCAAAAACAGATCATGCCAGACTAATCTTATTGCATTCCTTTACAAAGTGACAAAATTAGTGGACCAGAGAAATGCAATCGATATAATTTACTTGGACTTCAGTAAGGCATTTGATAAAGTAGAGCATGACCTACTACTAGATAAAGTAGAAAAATGTGCATTAGACAGCATCACCACCAGATGGATTCATAACATACTGACCAAATGCACTCAACGTGTATCCTCAATGGAACTACATCTACATGGAGGGAAGTATGCAATGGGGTACCCCAGGGCTCTGTTTTAGGCCCAGTACTCTTCAACATCTTCATCAATGATTTGGACGAGGGGACAGATGGGAAACTTATCAGATTTGTAGACAACACCAAGCTAGCAGGAATAGCTAACACGCTGGAAGATAGGCTTAAGATACAGAAGGATCTTGACAGACTTGAACATTGGGCGCTATCTAACAAAATGAAATTGAATGAGGGAAAAAGTAAGATTCTACATTTAGGCCAGAAAAACAAAATGCACAGGTGGCTCAATAGTAGTAACTGTGAGAGGGATTTTGGAGTCCTAGTGGAGTCATGAGCCAGCAGTGTGCAGCAGCTGCCAAAAAAGCCAACACAGTTCTAGGCTGCATAAACAGAGGGATAGAATCAAGATCACGTGAAGTGTTAATACCACTTTATAATGCCTTGGTAAGGCCACACTTGGAATACTTGGCATCCAGTTTTGGTTGCCACGATGTAAAAAAGATGTTGAGACTCTAGAAAGAGTGCAGAGAAGAGCAACAAAGATGATTAGGGGACTGGAGGCTAAAACATATGAAGAATGGTTGCAGGAACTGAGTATGTCTAGTTTAATGAAAAGAAGGACCAGGGGTGACATGATAGCAGTGTTCCAATATCTCAGGGGCTGCCACAAAGAAGAGGGAGTCAAGCTATTCTCCAAAGCACCTGAGGGCAAGACAAGAAGCAATGGGTGGAAACTAATCAAGGAGAGAAGCAACCTAGAACTAAGGAGAAATTTCCTGACAGAACAATTAATCAGTGGAACAACTTGCCTCCAGAAGTTGTAAATGCTCCAACACTGGAAGTTTTTAAGAAGAGATTAGATAACCATTTGTCTGAAGTGGTGTAGGGTTTCCTGCCTAGGTAGGGGATTGGACTAGAAGATCTCCAAGGTTCCTTCCAACTCTGTTATTCTATATTCTGTATTCTTGTTGTCTTAACAAATTGACCATTCCTTCTGTAGCTGGGGTTAGTCCCCTCTAAATCTTTATGCTCCTTACTTACTGTTGTGTTTCTGTTGGGTTTCAATTTCTGCTCCCTCACAAGTCCAGCTGGACTGAAGACAAATTTGTTTTCAAAATGAAATAAAACATGTTACAAAAAAAAAAAAAGTTAAAAGAGATTAGTAGGACAAGAGAATAGCCTCTTCAGCGAATCCCTCGGAATTTAGAGTTTTTGTTGTTTTACTAATCTCCAAAAGCTAAGCAGAATCAGACATACTTATATATTGAATGGGAGACCATCGGGAAATCCTAGAGCTGTAACCTAGGCAGGAAACTTTTTTAAAAAATGGCAAAAGAAGGCAAAAACAAAAGTATGATTTCTGAAGAAAACTCCATGGATATGCTCTGTATTAATCATCAGGATCTACTCAAGGAAGTATTTAGTGTTACACATTACTGTTAACTTTCATATTTGTTCAGAAGAAATGTAATAATATGCTTATTATCATCATGATCTCCTTGGTTATACTTTGTGAACATAGATCTCCCTTTTTAAAACGCTTTTGGTGAAATTGGAAACAGTATGTCTTCCACTGAAATAAGCCATCTAGCTTCCTTCTTTTAAAAAAAATACACTGTTCAACCACATTATCTGTGAAATAAATAGAAGTACAGTAAAATAAAAATTAGATTCTCTAGTACTCTATTCAAAAAATTCAAAACAGAATTTTAGTCCAGGGAGTTAAGTTTATGTTTATTTTACATAGTTTGCATACTTCGATGAAATCACCAAGTTTTCACCAATTTCCTGAAGGCTGGGAGGGAGGTGTTTATTTCAATGTCAGGTTACTATTTTGTGGAAAGGGGGCAGCAACTGAAAGGACATGCTTCTGTGGACGATGAAAATAGCAGTCTCTGATCAAGGGGACACTTGAAGAGGTGCCCAACTAAATTTTATGAGGCAGGCAGATAGGTTACTGATATAAGGTATTGCTACTGATACCCAGGCTCTGAGCCATGTAGGCCAGAAGTGTCAAACTCATGTTGTCACAGCGGCATCACCTGATGTATCGGGACTTTTTTCCCCTTTGCTAAATTGGTTGTGGGTGTGGCCAGCACATGACGCATCCAGTCTGCAGGCAGGGAGTTTGACAGCCCTGATGTAGGCCTTTAAAAAGTGACAAACAACATCTTAAACACACCTGGAGACAATTGTGATGGCCTTAAGTCTGATGTTTAGAAAAGTCTTAAATCCCTTCCTTCTCTAACACACCTGCCACTTTTTTATACGAATATTAATGTGGATTGCTATTTTCTGTTTGATTTTGAAAGCTTTTCAAGAAAATAAATAAATATCCTTTCTACTCTATCTATGATGATAATTGTTCGTTTAGATGAAAATTCTATTGTTGTTGGTTATGTCCCCGTAAATGCAAAATCCAGGATTTGTTTGTAGTCCATAATGCATCCACTGATTCATTATTGCACAAAAACTGTACTACACAAAACTCATTAAAATATAGGAACATAGATTTCATTGGCTACTTTTGTGAATGCCCATATCCTAAGTACATAACACTTTAATACTTCCTGACCTACAGGCCACAAGGGGGCAGTAAGGTGTAGATAAAGAATTAGAGATTTACCCCTTTTACTCTGCCTATTCTTGGTCTAAGACTTTGCTAATCAAAGATCCCTTCTTTCTGCATTTCTTCCCAAGAATACCAACAGACAGAGACAGACACACACAGAGTACTTGGACTCTCCTCCTAATAGGAGTAGCTAGCTAGTTATTAGGCTTTCCTTGTCTCTGTGATGTATTTCCTGTAAATCTCTTCTCTGTTATAGTTATAAAACCTGCATTACTAATCAGAATGCTTCAGCCTCCAACCATGAATACATACCATGCAGAAAATCTAAATTAATTAAGTTTTGTGACATCTGTAGGTCTTAAGTTTCTTACTGAAAGTATTAATAACATAAACCTTAATGGGAGTTGACTGACTTCAATCTTTAGCAAAATTAGCAATTTTCAGAACTCTATGCTATACATTTTTAACTAAAGCAAAATAACTAATTATTATAAAATATCCAATAGTACAGTATGCCTTTCATTAGCAAGATCAGGCAAAAAACAACAACAACCAAAAAAGCTAGAGCAGAAATAATCACCCACTTCTGTCAAACATCAATAGAAGGCAACAGTTGTGATGAAGAAAACTTTGTGCCTTCCATACAAAATCACTTGTCCCATGATAAACCTGAGGAAGAAATTAAAAATATCAACCAGATTCAACAATAAAAACTGAATGGGCCTTTAGTTTTCTTACATTTTGTTCAATCCATTTCTGCAAGGGAGTGATTCATTTGTAGTCTTATTCTTACTTAATCTCACATAATACCAGAGTTTTTTTTTTGTAAGCGCAGTTTGCTAGTAATAGTGTCTAATTACAGTGAAAATAGATGGAGCCTTCTGTGATTGTCTCAATCTGTCTGGGGTAGTGAAGGTCTGTTTAAAAGGAATAGAACAGACGGTTGCCATGTGAAATTAAAACTAGAGACTTCGAGCTATCAGTTGACATCCTTCACTGTTGAATGCTGCAATATGGTTGAAGCTGCATATTAGCTTAGCAGATCAGGGGAATGACGTAGACTTTGTGTACTTGGACATCAGCAAAACTTTTAACAAGTTTCTCATAATAGTCTCTTTAATAAAATGATTAAATATGGCTAATGATGTTATGGTTGTCTCACAATTGACTGAATACCATATCCAAAGGGTAGATTTTAGTTAGGAGGAAAGTATTGAATGGAGTGCCACAGGGCTTTCCTGAGAGAGTTGAGGAGGTACATCATGTTTGTAGATAATACTAAATTAGGAGGAGTAAATAATAACTTACATGTAAGAGAAGATTTAAAAAGATCTAGACAAGCTTAGTCTAAATCAAATAGGATGGAATTGTAAAGCAAAAAAGTTTTACATCTGAATAGCAAAAATAAAAGATTTAAGACAGGGAAGGCCTGTAATGCATCTGAAAAGGACAGGATCTCCTTGTTGATCCCAAGTTAAACATGAGCTAGTAGTGTGATGCAGCTGCTAGGGCCATTATTCATTTAATGTTGGTTGTTTTGCTGCTTCCAATGTAATTATATCTTGAAACAATTTTCAGATTGAGACTACAGGCTCCAGAATTCCAAATTAGCATGTTAGTGTGTATGAAAAAGAATCAAGATATCCCTGTGAGTCACAAATTAAATATGAGTCAGCAGTGATATAGCTGCTTAAAAGAGAAGTGCTATCTTGAGGTACAATAATAGGAATATAAAGTTCAGGCCACAAAAAATAATTGTTTTACGTTACTCTTCATCTCAGTCCACACCTGAAAAAGGACAACCACACTGGAATAAGTTCAGAGGTGGGTTACCAAATTTAGTCAGGTATCTAGAAACCAAGCTCTACAAGGATTATTAAACTTCCTGGATATATTTAGTCTAGAGACTAGATGAATAATCTCATTTTCAAATATCTGAAGAGGTTTCATACAGGAGAGGACTTATTCTCTATTGCCCCTAAGGCCAGG